ATCTCCCAGAGTATGTCGGTTTTTGGTACCAATTTAATATTAATTTATTATCAACGATTGAGATAGAAGTATCCAAAAAATTGATCGTTCTGTTTAATTCAACTTCTAATGTGAACTTTAACCTTGGATGGTAAGAATTGAAAATATCAAAAATAAAATTAATTTTATTAATTTTATTATTTTAAAGGATCGAAACGTCCACTTAATTTACATTGACTGCTGTTGCGATTTATTTCCACTCCCACCTTGGATCTGCGGCTCTCTGGTTTGTGCTTTTCTTATAGTTTGTCTCCGTTTGAGCCTTAAATTTTATGATTATTTTAAAGTTTTTTTTCTGCAATTTATAGAACGAGTACTCGACACATCTAAAGATTTTATGAACAAGCTTCTCTAAGTTCTCGGAGACTGAGTTTCTCGAGGATTCTAAATAGAACATATTGATCTACGAATCGTCTGGAATTGTGGAACCACATTTGCAACTTAAAATATCTTAGTGTTTGTTTAACGGAAACTCGAAGAATATCGTACCTGCTTTCGATATTCGTAGGCAAAAATAAGCAAAAATGTTCTCGGGCCGCATAATCCTTGCTACTTAGTTCCTGCAACGACGGAAAGTCCGTGGATAACAATTATCGGACGGACAGACTGTAATTATCTTGCAAAGCAAATAGTCGCTCTCGATTTTCTTCTAGACGTTACTTAAATGATTACGGGACGTTAAACTTACTTGAAGCGTGCCGATTCCTAAAATGATACCACTGGCATTCCAAGAAACTCGTTCGGATAAGAGGTTTGATTGAATTGCTGGATATTCAAGAGACATATATTCTGAAAGAGGTAATCCTTTATAATTACTGCGGCATGACTATTGCGAGATAAATAAGAGAGCAAAGTAATAAATTGGCAAACGAGAGAAAGTTAAAACGGTTGATATTACAATAATTATATATAATTCTGATTAATGTACGTTACATCTCTCAAAAACTTGAGATACTTGAAAGCAATCGAAATTAACTTTTTTTTTTAATTTTACCTACTTTGCACTCAAAGCTTGAATTTATATCGTTAATTAAGCAAAACAACTACTCGTTAAAATTAATAATCAATTTTTTTCAAGTAAAAATTCAGCATTTACGTGTGCCTAGAGTGTAATCTAAAAGTAATCGATAAATATGCAACGCACCTGTAAATTCTATGACGGTCTCGTTGAAGAGAATTATCGTTGAATTTACGTCAGGATATGAGAAAAGTTCGACGTGTGGGTTGTACCTGATCAATAATTCGGTATCGTGGACAACATGCTCGTTTTCGGTTATTTGGACCGTGAAAATATCCGGCTGACTGCATACTAAGATACAAACATGTATATATTCGAAACGTTAATATCAGTAATTTTTTTAGCTATTCGTGTGGAACCGCCCATATATTGACCAACGTCACTTCGAAATAAACCTTGGGCGATCGCGCAAAAATATTATCCCGGTATGTGTTAACATAACGTTCTATATGCAATATTCATTTTTTTTTTTTTTTTTTTTTGACGTGTGTGTGCGAGATAATTAGAAATGGTGATCACCTTCGCCACACACGTATGTCCGTCACACGTTGTGAAACATCGAACGGAAACGCGATTTTTTTACGTTACCGCATTCAAAACAAAATTATCACGATGTCGCAAAAACCAACAGCTATATATGCCTCCCAGCGAAACTTCATTCTAGAGCGCGAATGCAATAACGCTCCAACGGAATTTGTATGTAACTAACTACCGCACCTTGGGTCTCGAATTAAGCGATTTTTTTTTAAATGTTTCGTTACTTAACGAGCAATATGTTCCTTCGCTTTATCACGATTAGAATCTTCAATTTCACGTTTCTCCATTTTTCTATGATACAAAGAAGCAAAGTTTTACGAAAGCTCAACACGTTGCATAATGCCACATTGTGTGTGTGCGCGCGCGCGCGTTACGCGAGATTTTATTCATATGATTACGTGAAAGGTGAGATCGAGCGAAATCAAATTACAGATAAAATACAGGTATAATACATATGAGTTGTCGCAACTTTTGTTGCTATTGAGTTAGCAAGATTTTGCGCGCCAATTTTGTACATACAACATTTCAATATTGTGATCGTTTCTATTTCCAAGTCTTTGTTATGGTTGTGTTACAAGAGTTCGTTGCCGTGTGTGCCTCCGCTATCTCATTCGTATGCGCGTATGTATAACCATATCGTAATATTCTTTTTTCAACTCTCACGTGTAATTTCTGTCAGGCACACAGACGGGAACACCTTTTAATTAAACCACCTAAACGAGTCTAAGCGATCTCTCGCGTTGTTTTGCAACCGCGGAAAGGTTGCGGAAACATATTAATCTGCATATCATCGCGCGCATCGCGCGATGTAATTCTAAACCCGCGCGCGCGTAGCTGGTTCTCTCCTCCCTACCCCGCGAAGTGCAACGTTACACGGCGAAGTGGCTAACGTTACGGTAAACCGAGTCGTGACGGCGCAATTTCCTTCGCGTTTATATCCCAGAGGCGAGAAACAAAACCGTCTGGCGAGAAAATCGCGCGTTCACGTGAGGCGCTCGTTACAGGCGCAGGGTATAGACAAGACACAGAAGTAGACCGCGCGAAAGTCGATGCGGACTTTTGCGAGTCGCGCCTGTATAGTGATGCATAATAAGCTCGATCCTGCTGGTGCGCGCCCGATCGAGGAAATGCGCGCACCACCAAGCAGCCGAATGTAATGCGTAATCGCGGTGTTACCGCACCGACACAGACACAGCGCGCTTGATGGGACACATGCGCGTTGCATATCGATAACGTTGCGCGCATGTGTACGTGCGCGCACGACTGTGGAGAAGATTCTCTCCAGACCTTTTGTGGAACTTTCATAAAAGTCTTTCCGCATTGAACTGCAAATGCAAATAGACCGAGAAAGGACGAAAAGAAATTGATGTGTTTGCGATTGCTTGCGGACGCGTGTATCGCGTGATTTAGAAGTTCTTGCGCGAAATGTTTTTCTCGTTCCAAATTGCAGTCATTGAGATTTGACAACGGATTTTTTTTTAACGCGTTTAACACATTAGTAATTAGATTTAACACAATTACAATTTTTATGTTTAGATCGAATGACCCTCCAAAAAGTATCGGGTGTTGTATCGGACGTGTTCTTCTGAACAAATTTATGATAGTAACAATCTTGGTCTCTCGTGCTCCTCGCTGTGTAACATGCAGTTTGTCGAACTGCATGTTACACTGTTTTTTTTCTTTTCAGTTTCGATGAAAGTTGAATTTACAACCGTGCCGGAACAATAGAAAAGCGGTTTGAATTTAACTGTTTTCTCTCTTGACGACGTTTTTTATAAGAATTTCCGCGAATTCACCTTCCGACATTATTACGCAAGAGGTATTAAACAAGTAACAGTCTCGTTGAATTATTCCGGTCCACTTGTTCCCCCCTCTCCCCACCGCTGATATTACTCACCTGTTAGCGACGTCGGTTCTCCCGCGGATCGATATATTATTGTTACCAACGTAGTTAAGAAAAACCACGCGGAACGAGCAGAACGACTTGCAGACATCGCGACCGCTTTCAGCACATTAAAAACTCATTACAAACCGACTGTCAATGCTACTTATAACTGTGTGCTTTGTGGTTAACATTAATTTTGATAAAAAGAAATCCACGAGTGCGGCAAGAAGATAAGCCTATTTATAAGTAGCAAGAAAACTTTGCTAAGTTTACTGATATGATGTTCGTTTTATCATCAAACAAACGTTGTGTCGTACAATTTAACGAAACGTAGTAAAGAAATCTTGTCTACAAATAAATTGATTCGAAGCTTATATCTCGGCAGTTTTGACTGCTAGAGTTTCGATTTATAAAAAAAAAAAAAAATCCCATAGATTACCTTGAAATGTGAGCCAATTAGAAACCGTCCAATTATACTAATTTATTGTAGTTCACTCTTTTCACTCTTTAGGGTTATTACCCCTCCGTATTTCGGATCGATGGCGTAGCAATTTACTTGGCCGCTCTCGGGTAACCTCGGATTTATTACCATTTCACACGTACAAGAATTAATGTGCAATTTAGCCATGATAAATTATTTCTAGTGTAATTACACACGTAATAATAGACCGGCGTGTACTATTTATATTTTTTTGATGCGTTTATTGTAAAGCAGGCGGTATACTGTGTATTGTGCGCGAGATAAAAACTTTATCACACATATTTTTTATCGCGTTTAGTTTAATAGTAATACTAGTAATTTTAACGTATGCATTTCGTACGACAGTAAGAGAAAATAAATATTTTGGTATATCCATAGTGTAAATTTCGCCACAAAAGAAATTTGCTGTGCAATCGAGATAAACTCTCAGATACACACAACTTGTAACAATAATCGTAGTGTGAATAAAACACAAAATATATATACACACATGTGATTGAATCTCTAATAATGGTACGGCATTATTCAATTATTCTCGCACACTTGTTTAATTATACACAAATTTGTTACGAAAGATACTTCGCGATTAATATTATTGCACGATGTTAATTACTTACGTCAGAAATTGACATTTTTATTACGTTGTGATTTTACGAAACAATAAGCGCGCGTGAGAAATATAAAATAAAGTTTTTCACAAACATTTTAATCAGAAAGCTCGTCGTTCACTTTTTCAATCAAAATTTCATAATTCTTTTTGCGGTTATAAGTTTTAGTCTAGTTTCTTTGCTAAAGGTACATACATACACACGCTAGAAAAACCGGCCACGCTGTTGACAGTATCAATATTAACGTTATGTCGGCGATCATTTCCCCGTGCAAACAACGGGGGTCACATGCGTGACGCGATAGAAAGAATTTTCTGGACGCTTCTTCCCAGCGCACACAAAGAAAATGATCGAACAGCGTCATGTATTTTGCAGATTTGTGAAAAACTAGATAAAAAAAAAAAAAAAAAAAGTGGATACATCGATAGTACGCGCGCGTGCGCGTGCTATCTTTTTTAGACCAACGATATAGCATCTTTTTTTATTTAACATTTTAAAAAACAAAGTAAAATATCTTGAGATTCAACAACGGAACTGTGCGCGTAAAATATTATCGCCAGATTGTGCGATCGCTCGCTTGTGCATGTGTCGGCGCGTCTGCATTTTTCGTGAAAGGAAACATAGCAACCGCGAAAGTGCATAGAGCGCAACGCGACCGTCGTTTTCTGTCTCAGCCAGCCGCGTCGCTCTTCCCCGCCCTCGAGATTTCTCTAATTGGGCACGATAAGATCGCCGCCCGGAATCTTATTAACGGCACGCTCTCCCGTTGCAACGTTTGTTAATAACGGTATAATCCGTAATAAAAAAAAAAAAAAAAAAAAAAAAAGAAAAACGACCGAAACTCGCACGAAAGCAAAAAAATCGCGATTCCGCTTCGATTAAATCGTAAAACCGTAACATTGTAGCGTATGTATCTACACGTCGGGCTTCTTCGTCGCGATGAGAAATGTTTCGACGTAACTTAGTATTCTTCGACAATTCAACTCCGGAATCAACTCCGGAATTAATTTCTCTGACGTTGAAATCTCATTACGCGTCTTGTCTGCGTATTATAGATAATGGACGTTCGAGATCGATGCTCCGATGTCGAACTGTCGATTTTTCGTGTCACGTGAAGAACAGACGGTTTGCGTAATTTGTCAGCAGATATGAGACACAAGACATGTGGTTTTAATTGACATTTCGCAAGAGAGCATCGGACTTGAAAGGAATACGGTTAAAAAGATAAAATGCGTCTGTTGGAAGAATCAACACAAGAGCAGCTTTGAAGTGAGGTTTTCATAATTTCGAGAGTTACTTAAAGAGAAGAGACAGGAGGCGAATCAGTTTAATCGGCACACTTACCTATGCACACAGAAAACACTTTCTGTTTATTATTATTATTATTATTATTATCATTATTATTGTTATTATCAAGGCCTTTACAATCTGCGGTACAAACACACCAGAGGAGCAATCGCGCGCTTTTCTTGAATGGTCCTCTGTCCGAAGAGAATTGCGTCACAGCTAAACGAAACGGCACAATCACTGCGCATTTACATATGCCTGTTGTATAACCCGCGTCGATTATCCCAAATGTTAATAAACGTAATATGCGCATCTCTCTGTTTATTCTCGTACGCACATGCGCCTCGCGCTATCTGATCGAAGAAAAAAATCTCTCTCTTTTTCTCTCTCTCTCTCTCTCTCTCTCTCTCTTTCTCTTTCTCTTTACTTTTACGCGCAGACTATTCCTATAGACCATTAACTGTGATTACCTGGCACGCAGCGTATTAGATAACGCAGCGGGATGCGCTCATCGACCTGGCCCGCGCGCGTCTCAATCGACGGCCGCACACGTACATACATTCTGCAAGAAGATAAATTTAACAGAGACTTTACCCGACACTGTCGTCCCGTGTTTGTCGCTTTCCACGTTCCTTTAATCGATCACACGTTACCATGAACGTTGCCGTTCCGTGACGAATCGATTTTCACGATCGTCACGGTGCTAATAACGTACAACTCACCCATAACGAAAGTCTCATTGCGACACATCTAAACAAAGACATGGGCTGCCACGATCTCGCCGAGCCGCGTCTGTGCATCTTCTCGATACGCATACATGTGTGTACATGTACATAACGAGCCATCATCCGCGATCTCCGCAATCTCACCTGACCTGTTTTAAACTTTCTTGGATTTTAAAGATCGCTCGTACACCCACGCCGGTCGTTTTCAATTTCTAGCATGCGCCACGGAAACCAAACTCGACACGCGGAAATGAACTTAGGGTGTGGCATATGTTATCGGAAATGACGACGGAAGTGGGTAAAAGGAGAGAACGAGCAGCGACGACGATGTCGTCGGAGATATGTTTCTCGCGTCTAGCTTGTGTCTCTCTCGGGCCGTCTCGGTTTTCGTCGCGACCGTCGTATTAATGAGACATCGTCGGGACAAATGCGTCGTGTCGCAGAATGGATCGTGTATAACGGTAGCTAAGATGCATGTAGCCGAACGGACCTGCGCGGACCCGAGGATAAACTGGCGTCTATAATCGCGGAAAGCAATTGAGTTTGTCTTCACGGTTTATCTATCTGTGGGATGGCCGCTGATGGTGTGTGTCTACTATGTATTCGCGGCGAGATACGGGAAAGTTCGATCTCGCACGCACAAAGAAAAAACGCATCTCGGAAACGAAAGCGAGCGGAGCGGACATTTATTCTCGCGTGCGTGCGGAACTTTTTACGTGAAACAAACGGGAAGAGAATGTTAGGAAGTCCGTGTTAATTGCCCGCCGTGCGTTCGGAATCTTGTTACATCTTACGTTACAGAACCGCACATTTGTTTAACGATCGGGGGGGGGGGATCGTTAAATTAAAAACTGCAAAACGACAAAGCTATACTTAAGGAAATTTACTGTCACTTATATATGTATAATTTACTTGAATAATTTACCGTTTTATTTATATATAATTTATGCAAAATTTCTAAACAATTTTTAATATTATAATTTTTAGGATTTATTTTCTAATTCATAAATAAAATATGTAAATGTTGAAAGCATTTATTTAAAACGTATGTTATTTTTTTCACATTACATTTACATTAGAGGAATTTTCTGCGCGATACAATCTAAAAAAAAGTGATCTATATTTCGGAACGTGTTACGCATATATATATTAGACCAAACTTTCATGCAAAACAACTATTCACCGAAAGACACCTTTCTGTTCATGAAATGCCGATAGTGTCGGACGCGGATGTCGCAAACGCAAATGCGTAAATAAGGTTTTCGCAATCGCGCGGTGGTTTGGCAACAGCTCCTTCCGATTTTTTGTTCTCGCGCACTTCTCACCGCGTCTCAGGAAAAGATCGGTCGAACGGTCGGCGCGGTTCTGGAAAAAATCAAACGACGCAGTTGGCGAGAGCGAACGTAGCGGTTCGCCGAATATCTTTGTGACGCAAGGCGCGCATACGTCGCGCGCGGCAGCGCGTGATGTGTGTGTCGAAAGTGCCGGGAGATTAATCTCCCGTGTCTAAAGAGAGAGAGAAAGAAAGAGAGAGAGAGAGAGAGAGGATATGTTCGCGGATATTTACCGCGATTTTCGCACACTCTGACATTTTGCGTCTTGCGCGCTTTATCCCTTCCCGCTTGTTGTCCCGACGTAGTGCCCGTTTACTTTAACGATCCCTAGAAGTAGCGCTTGTTTTTCTAGTGGCACATATATACATACGGTCTTACGGTGAAACAGGTGTACCTCTCTTGGCGCAACTCGCGTAATATCAACGCGAGTGAAAGTTCCCTTCGCAATTCCTCATAATCGCGTAACGCGTTGGGTTCAATACGTCTCTCCATTAAGCTAAGCCTCCTCTAAATCCTCTCCCGACAACACTCGAGCGTGTTTCATAAGCGGTCATTACGTAGTATAAAAAAAATACTTTATTTGTGTTTACATTTACAAGGTGTATAGTACAATTCCATAATGGGATCACATTGAAAATACAATATCGATGCGTCGCATTGACTTCTGACGTCGCGTAGCAATCTGGTCGTTCCGCCGATTGTAATCTCGAACCCTCGACGATCGATCTCTCTTGAATTGGAGCTCCTATTCTAATCTCGCGCCGCGAGCCGTTTACCGAAAGAGAAAAACAATGAAGTCTTCGCTCTTTCTTGTGGTAACTTTGTCTTAATGCTCTAATGATATCCACCGAAATCGTGACCGCCGAAGTCGTGACCGCCAAATCCGCCCTCAAAACCGCCGCCGAAACCGCCCTCGTCGTGACCTTTAACGACTACGGGATAAGGTTCCTTGACGACTACGGGCACCTTAACGGGATAGGGCACCGGCTTTGACACCTCGACCGGGACCTTGACCGGTACCTTGACTGGGTAGGGCACTTTGACGGGCACCTTCACCGGTACCTTCACCGGATAAGGCACCGGCTTCTCAACCGTGTAGGGCACGTGCTTCGTGACCTCGACCGGATAAGGCTGTGGTACGTGAACCGGGTACGGACGATCGACGGGTACTTTGACCGGCACCTTCACCGGGTAGGGCACGTGTTTCGTGACCTCAACCGGATACGGGTGCGGCACCGGCACGTGCTTCGTGACCGTTACCGCCTTGACGTGATCGGTGGAGATGATCTCGCCATGACCACCACCCAGACCGCCACCCAGACCGCCGAAGCTATGACCTTCGAAACCGCCTCCGAAGCCGCCATGATCGCCCAAGCTCAGCTCCAATCCGCGTTTTGATTTCTCATCCTTGGGCTGGGCGCTGGACTTGGATTCTTTCTTATCCTCAGCTGCGACCGATAATACCAGGCCGCAGAGAAGTATCACCTGCCGGAAGAAAGGAAATCAATGCCTGTTCGAACTTACGTAATTACACGGCAAGCGTGAAATCGGAAAATTTTACGGAGATAGAGCGCGTAAACTAAACTTTGGTTAGAAATCGCGTTGCGCATCGGTAATGTTTTACGCTGTACTAATATTAGTTTACGTAACGCTAATGCCAGTTTGCGGAACTTGATGAGAGACTTGGCATAGACATGTTGCATCGACTGTTACGATGATTTAAACAAGAACTGCTTCTATGGTTTGTAGAACAACATAATAAAAGTCTTTTACATGATGACTGATAACATTGATTTGAATTTTTCATATTAGTTGAACAGAAACAACTTGATATCACATCCAAGTAGTATAGTTAAAAAATTAGTATCAACAAATTTAAAACAGTAAGGCAAATTTATTTTTTAAAAAATTTCAAATTAGTTGCTCTCTAAAATTGTGCAAAAAAAAAATAATTTCCAAAATGTTTTCAAAAACGACAAACATCCAACGATTTTCATAAAATCCGCAAATCATGTCTTCAAGATTACTGATTATTACACGTATGTGTTAGAAAGCAAGTTGTGGGTTGAAAATGACAGAATGCGCCTGCAACGCGTCGCACGAATGCGGCTCGTTGGTTCTACAAGCGGTGATTCGAGCGGCTATCTTACAGGAGCTACTCACTTTCAGCTTGTCGGTGCTGTTCATGTTGGTCGGCAGTGAGCACACTGGTACCGCCATGGTCTACCCTCGCTTTTATAGGAGACGCAACGGTCTGTCCGCTGGGCAACTCGAGCGTGCCGATGAAATTGTCGGCGGGTAGGAAGTCAACAGAAAGAAAGGAAGACAACGCCGTTCGTGGGCGACGCTTTTCTCCGCGTCTGCTTTTGTGTTCGCGTCTATTTTCTCTTCGTTTTCGTTTTTTTTCCTTTTCTTTTTCTTTTTTTTTTTCAAGAACATCTCGTCGTGTTTTCGAGTTTGTTCGACTCCGGATAGAAATCTATTTTTCTAATCAAGAGAAAAAAATAGAGCCGAATCGTCTTACATGTCTCACGAATAATTTTGTTTTAATGTAAATGTCGTTGGGAAATAATCGATAGCACGGAAAACAACTCGGCGAATAATACGATTAGCAATAAATAATACGATTTTACATATCGATGTTTTATTAATGTAATTTTGGCTGACAGTACGCCTTTCTCTATACACTTCTGTAGTTTCCGAGGGCTTCATCAATATTTAGAGCTTAATTAACCCGAGGAGGCAAAGAATTGGAATTTCACGACGACACGAGAGCGCTTCCTTTTTTCTCTTTCTTCACCGTCCGAACGTATGAACTCTCTTTCTCTCTCTCTCTCTCTTTTTCTGGAACATTCGCATTCAGAGTTCCAACTTCTTCGAATTTAATATACTCGCCTCATTTCCATGCTCGTGGCATGCTCAACCGGCGTGTTATCTCTTTCCTGGAGTTTCGTGTGCATTGCGACATTTGTCGTCGAAGAAGAAGAAGATAGTCACCGTCGGCCGTGAAATTAAAAAGAATGATTTGAACAGAGACGCCGTTGCCGCCTCCGCTTTTAATGGGAAGTTGTTGGAACTCGTTAACGCGACCGGATGAAATTCTCGCGCGCCGGAAATGGTTTTACGTGAAAACCCGGTTTTCGCGCGATATAGATACGTTATATATGTAACGGGGGGTGGCGCGATTTTTGGTTTATCACACGTAGCCCTCGCGGGTACAGTTAATCTCGGAATGACTTTGCGCCACGATCTCGGCTGGTTCGAAGGATATTAGAATACCCGCGTATCCATGGCTTATCAGGGTTATCGGCACGAATAAATTTCCATACATCTGAATTTGGATTTCCATATTTGAATCTGAAAATATTGATTTGACTTCTAGCAGAATAGGATAGGGAGGAGGCGTGTTTCGAGAGGGCCGAAGCGCGTTTCCCTCCCTCTCGATTGGCCGTCGATCTACCCGCGGTGAAAATCGGACAGGACGATGTACGCGAATAGTTTCCACTTGACCTATAGCCGCGGATTAAATTGTTTTCGATGAATTTATAGTGATTCGCTGGAGACCACAATCTGCTCGCGCTTGTTGTTGCGCCGCTGCTGTTTCTCCCGACACGAACCTGAAAACCAACAATTGACGACGACGATACGAAACGAACGACGTGTCGAAAGCGCCGGCTTTCTTTCGAGCTCGGTGAGTTCGTTATTTGAAACCTTGATCGTGATCCATTGCGGATTGTTTTTCTTGGCGCAGTCGCGTAACAGAGTCCGTATACTTGAAACCATTCTTGAAACGGTATTTATCGCCGTTGTGTGAGATAACAAAAAATCGATGCCAGAGATAGCGTGGTGGTCATAGCATTAATTAGCTGGAACGTCGCTCTCTTGACTAATCGGCAATTGCGCGAACATGCGTGACGGCAATCCATTAATTGCTGAAGCCGCACAGTCTCATTCATTGAATTTGAAACTAATGACACGCGCTGGTGCCGAGATGGCTAATTTTCTGCGGTTTATTCCTGCTCTAAACCCACGCTTCGTGTTTTCATCGCGCGTCGCGGCAGCACAACGGACGCGCGTACGTACACACAACGCGATCGACAATTATCATTTAGCAGTTTATTGTGAGTCAATGAATTATTCGTTAAGAAGGTCAAAGTTACGTAACTTATTCAGACGTGCATTACGCAATTATACATATATTATAAATTTATTGCTGTTTATCCACGTCATTAATAATACATTAATATCGTCATGCGTTATGTACATTATCATACATAATATATTATTAATGCAGTTTAACACATTATACAATGTATGCGCTCAATACGCAGCAGAAGCGCTTGATTTAAATTCAATTCCGTTTTGCGAAAGAACGCAAAATTACAACTCTTTTGCGCAAGACGCGGTTTCTTGCTTTGTCCAGAAGTCGCGATACACATAGTGCGTAACGTGTTGTTTTTTTTTTTTTTTTTCCCAGGCTAACCTTCTTTTATGTACTTATTGTGTCATAAGTACCTCCGCGCGCATTGTTATTACGTTCTAAATTACGTGTACGCGCGCGCGATTTTAATTGCGATGTTATTAGCTCGAAAGTCTTCCTGCAGTAAGAATAATATCAGGAAGCTGTTAAGCGCACTAGCTATAGGAATATCAGATTAAATCTATCGCCGCGCGGTGAAAACCTGTGAGACCTCGGTTTTTTTTTTTTTTTTTTTAATTTTTTTTTTATTTTCTTTCCCGTTCGACCGATTGTAGTGACTCTGTAATATTACGTACACGGAACTTCACAAAGTATAAGCTGGCCGATTATGTTTACTGCCGGATATAACGTGCACGATATATGCTCGAATTGAAGGTGGCGATCGCTCACTTTCTACCGATCTCCCGATACTTATTTCGTGCGGCCGCAATTATGTAAATTTTAACATCACATCGCGTCACTAGCGTCGCTTAGAAGACTTTTTCGTGTCAGGACCACGAAAACCGCTTTTGATCTCGTGTACAAGCGAGCCGAGCTCATGCGAACCATATGCAAATTATGCATAATCTTTTGCACGTGAGCACCTGCGCCTAATGTCAACTTAAATGTCTGCATCCAGTGTACCTTTCCCATGTCGAAGTTCATTAGAAGCCTCGGCGTCATTAATGCAATTAATCAACGCGATATTTTCGAGAGAAAGAGAGAGAGAGAGAGAGAGAGAGAGAGAGAGAGAGAGAGAGAGAGACGCGCGGCCTCGCGTTTGCGCAAATGCAGAGCAAGATCTGAATTTTAATTAAATTTTGTGTGCGCTTATATTTTCGAGAGAGAGAGAGAGAGAGAGAGAGAGAGAGAGAGAGATCAAGNAGAGAGAGAGAGAGAGAGAGAGAGAGAGAGAGAGAGAGAGAGAGAGAGACGCGCGGCCTCGCGTTTGCGCAAATGCAAAATTAATTTTGCGAAAAGCCGAAGCGTCGCAGCAGTATTCGTTAAAAAAATATTTTTTTCGAGTAGTTCGAGTAGTTACTTGAACTTTATTCTGTACAAGGAGAGAGTTGCGGCAGTGTAAATGTACTCTAAGTGCACCGGCGGATCCTCGCGTGCCACGAAGACGCAGACAGCGCGCAGGCAGACGTCGTCGTCGTCGTCGTCTGGCGGCAGGATTTTCGCGCAGTCTGCATTTCTGCTTCACCGACCGCAAGCGTAACCTTATGCAATAATGGGAAAGGCTTTGGAGTCAGCCAGACCGCGGCTCTCATGAATATATGGATAGATGTTCTCGCTCAAGGTGTTTATCAAGCCGTTTTCTAGTTACGCCCTTTCCACTCCCGCCCGACACCCTCGCCCTTCAAACACAAACATAATTTGCGTCCTGCTGAGATGAAAGGGATTTTTAGCTTTCTGTGGACGGTGTCTCGAGATTTTAGCTTCCTCGAAGGATATACTTCTACGTAAAGACTGCGATGGATACTAGTGCTCATAAATTTTTTATGTCGTGCTCTATAAATAATATACATTTTTATGTCGCGCTTTTTTTTTTTCGAAAGATTTGATTTCTTCGAAGTTGTATGTAAATTGCACATGCGTCATTGTTTATGTCAAATGTTCTTTATAAAAAATATAGCTGTCAAAATATCACGTCATTATTTCCAATAAATGCTCTGTAATATCGAACGATCTTTTACTGCAACAGCTTTTATTGCAGTGTGACGTTTGTTTGTTTGTTTTTTTTTATAGTTAACACATTTTAAAAAATATATTCGTCTAGAATATATATGTTTGTTAAGTTTTATACTTAATGATCCAATATCTAATGTAATTGTACATATATGCGATAAATTAATAATTGCGCTACGTGCGCAGAACAATTTATTCAAAGAAAGTTCGCGTTTTTACATTACTTTCAATATCGTAACACTAACCTCGTGTACCAAATTATCTTTACCTGCTTTGTCATACTTGAGCGATGTTGACATTGCAATTACTAATCTTTAATCGCTCATAACTCAAATTAAGATCTATTATAGACTTGCCATTTTTTCATATTAGAACTCTCGTCTTAGAAATATTTCGAAGAATCAGATTATATAAAATATCTTCGATGATTTTGAGACACCCCGTGTATTGAAATATATAAAAACTGACCACTTATAATTCGAGAGAAGTAACAGCAGCTAAAATGTGATTATGTAAGATATTACGCTTACAAGTGCGATATATGTTATGAATAGGTTCACAGAATTATTATTGTAAAAGTTACAAAATATTTTATTAGATTGCTAAAGAAGTTGTTGAGCAAGAAATTGATATGTAACTCTCTCTTTTTTCTCTCGTATTTTGCTTCGATTGAGTAAAGTGAGAGAGAGAGAAAGAAAAGCATACGTTACACATCAAATGCATATTATTATTATTATTATTTTCGTAGAGCTATTTAATTTGATTGTCGAAAAAATATTTTAAAAGTTTCACAATTACATTATAAAAAGATATTATCAACATTACGAAAACGGGGGAATTAAATTAACGATATAAGCAAGCAGAGCGTAATGGTGAATGTACAAAGTAAATTAAAAAACCGATGTTTTAATAATTAACTAGAGAACGGGCTGCACAAAGATATGATACGTTACCGCATTGTAAACTACATTACGTACCACACAATTGCTCGATTATCATGTTTGCTTTACAAGACAGTAAATAACAAATTTCCACGTAATAAATAAAAGTTTAACTTGGATTAAAATGAATATGTATGTAATGAACTTGTTTTCGTCGAATCAGTTGTCTGACCGACGCACTGAACAATCAATCGTTTACTGAATAATACGAGCACTGAAATCTTGTCATAACTGCGCGCGAAACATCAATATAAAAATAATAATATTTGTGTATACAACATACAAGTCGCTTTATCTCTCTGACATATATATATATATATATACATATATAATTAAGCCAACTGATATATTGAGCAAAATCCCATAATTGCGTATTACCCGCGTGATAATTATTTTCGAACGAAATATCATCCGATCGAGACCTTTTGCAAAGACGTCATCACGAAACATGTTTACCCAGAATATCGGTCGGTTCACCTAGGTGCCACTATAAAAAAACAAAAAATGCCACCTGCGAGATCGAACTACATACCTAAGTAAAAGTTATGTTATTAATGCCAAATCACCATGGATCGATTATGAAAGTCGTTTCGATAAAAAGTCGCCGCGCGTGAATGACTTAAAGTAGCAACTAATCTCTTTTTTAAGATCCGATAACGGTACATTATGGAATCGGATTATTCTGTGTGTGAAGAAAAACGTCGCGCTGTTTCGACACCAAGTGATTCAGATCCATTATTGCGTTATTAACAATGCGGTCGATTAAATAGACAGACCTTCGGTGATTTTTTGTATAGATATATTATATTATACGTGTAAATACAAAAATATGTTCTTCAAACTTACAAAAATAATAATAGACAAGACGATAGTGCGTCGATGTTGCACCGCGACATGTCGCAACGCGAGTTTTCTCCTTCACGATCGACGCGTGTGCGCGTTATATCGCGGGCGTACATTATCGCCGAGTATTGTAATATCTTAACGACTTCCTTCGCGAATTGCAAATCCATTTTTTAATTAACGGAGCATCGAGCATGATGCCGGGATACACAGCGTGCGTGCGTGTCCGTGACACACGGGAGAAAGTCTCTAATCGTCGCGCCGCCTTGCGTGCGCGTCGTTTCACGCTATGGATTTTGTCGCTTGTAATCAAGACTTACGACGAGAGCCGTTGAAATCATAATATAAACGCGATCGCGAATTAATTAAAGAGGATTCCTTGCACGCGCGAATAATATTATTTTCGCGTGCGAGTTACGCGATATGTCAAAAACATTGCTTCCGTGTTTTAATTGCTCGATTAATTAATTAAATGCCGTTGATAAGAGGTTGCGTTTAATAAATAACAAACAGTCGACGTAGCTTCCACTAAAACGTTTGAAGAAAATGCGCATACGCATTACCGCAATCGACGAGAAAGAGAGAGAGAGAGAGAGAGAGAGAGAAAGATCGTAAAATTAAATTTAAAATCTCTATCGTACAGACGATTGCACGCTAGATTAAATCGAAACGTCCTCCTCCATCGTATTACCGTCCACTTATGTCTTAGGCGAAAGTCATCGGAGCCGTTACGTCTATCATCGCGCAAAACTTTCATAATCTTATATCAAATATAAATTTAAAGTGTCATTTTTTTTTTCGTCAATCACATAACATCTCTTACGAGTCACGTTCCTAAACGACACACATCGGCTTTGTACATCGTTGGAATTCCTAATTGTCCTTATGTAGGTTGAATGGCGCGCCGCGTTGCGTAAGATGCGCGTTGAGAGCTGGACGATCAACATTATTATCCGGTAAAATTTACGAGGTGCGCGGCGAGCAACAGAAAAAACTATTCCGTGACTATATTCTGACGTCTGGGTGAAAGAAAGAAAGGAAGCAAAGAAGAAAGAGAGCACGGACCGTTAGGACCGGCGCGAGCGATTGAGCGCCAGATCAATTGTGCCGGGCCGTAAATTGCGAGGCTCTTCTCCGAGGTGAGGGGATAGGCGATTGGAAACGCGACTCGAGGCGACCGACGTTACGCGGTCCGTATCCGGGTATCCGGCAGTAATCGGCCCTCACCGGGCGGTAGCCCGTGGGAAAATGGCTCGAGCGGTTTTGCGCGGGAGATGGCGACGTGTGTACAATCGGTCCACCTTAAAGCCGTCGTTCCGGCGTTTGGACGAGCGCGATTTTCCGGGGAGTGGGCCAGCGCGCACGGCGAAAGTGCCGGTATATATGCCAGTGATTGGCGCGATGCAACTTCAGTGTGCACTCCCGAAGGCTACCATGAGCACTTCGCAGGTGAGAGCTCGCGCTGCCTGGCACAGACGGCGCGCACCCGTAAACCTCTTGACGAAGGAAAGACCTTTAGGGCAAAAACAAACGAGGGGGATTATGCACGACGTATGAGAGAAACGCGTTCGGGATTTAGCGTTCACGGCGTGAGATCGGTTTAGGTAATCATGGTGTTTCTCGCGTCCCGTTGCGGCGCGCAGTGTCGGAGTCCACGTAGACTAAATCACGGTGTGGTTCTTTGTTCCGACAGACGAGTGAGAGTCTCGCTAAATTCTCATTTTGCGTGATGTAAATAAATACGTCGTATCTTTGATTATGTTTGTATATTTTGACACAAGTGCGCCGGTATTCGTAATAATATATTGTCACTTAACATCTTTAGATATTAGCATCTCTTTAGATGTTTAGGTATTTTTGTTTAGGTATTTTTTTTATTTAGTTTGCATCGCAGGGTTATATTTTTGCTAAGACCCTATCAAAGATATAGGGTCAGCTCTCAAAGTTAACAGTACAAACCTTGACCATGAGAAACCGCAATTAACACACGTTTATTCCAGATCCTCGTGCTCTTCGCCCTTGCGGCGACGGTGGCTACGGCCACCGAGACGAAGAAGTCCGACAGCAAAGGAGCCGTCGACTCAAAGGATGCCAAAAGCAAGCGCGGCCTGGAACTCAGTCTGGGTCATGGCGGTTTTGGTGGCGGCGGTCTCGATTTAGGAGGACATGATTTCGGCGGTGGCCTCGGCGGCGGCGACTTCGGAGGTGGACTTGGCGGCGGCGGCGGCGGCGGCGGTCTTGGAGGAGGTGACGGTGGACGTATTTCCGGCATCACGATCCATCGCGAGGTCTCGGTGCCAGTTCCGGTGCCGTACACCGTCGAGAGAAACGTACCGGTGCCCGTGCACGTACCGGTGAAGGTCCCGGTGGACAACCCGATACCTGTTCACGTACCAAAGCCTTATCCGGTCCCAGTGGAGAAGACCGTACACGTCCCCGTGGAGAAACCGGTTCCGGTACCCTTCAAAGTACCCGTCAAGGTGCCCGTTAAGGTGCCCGTCCCATACAGCGTCCCATACAAAGTACCTTACCCCGTAGAGAAGGAAGTGCCTTACCCAGTCAAGGTGCCAGTCGTTGTCAAGGAATCGTATCCGGTTCTGGTGCACGGACACGGACACGGTGACGGAGGTGGTTTGGGCGGTGGCTTTGGAGGTGGACACGGCGGCTTCGGCGGTGGATACGGTGGCGGTCACGAGATCAGCTTTGGCTTGCACCATTGATAATAGTCTGACATCGACAATCGATATTAACGATATTCTTGTATATAATGATTGCGGTTTTTTTTTTACACGTGCTGTCTTAGCAAAATAAATATTAAATTATTAACGCGTGTGGTTGATTTTTTTTTCTAAAACTCAATATTTCTCCTTGCCCTTCGCGCACACTTTCTTGTCTGAAGAAGTGAGATACATGAATGTTAAAATGTGGCGATCGATTTCTCTAAGAAACGCACCCTCGTTCTCGAAAGCGAGGGAAGCGATATCCACTTTTACTGATTTACATGTGCAACGCACATGACAAGAAATAAATCGCGACTACAAAACCGGCTCTCTTCTTGTGTGTTAGATTTTCTTGCGTAATGCACTTAAAGTTATTGCGAGTTCGTAATCATAACTGCTATGGTATAAGCGGAATCTTAACTACTTCCTGAGAAACTAGGCGGAATCACGTTACAATGTGATTACCGGACGACATGTGAAAGTGTCTGAACTAGTCGTGTTACAATTCTATGTTAGACATACGTACCAGAAAGCTTATTATCTTTCTCTACGGTTAAAGATTCTGACAGAAAAGCCTTACTTGTTTGAACTTTTTTTTTTCAATTTTATTTCTTGTAAAGAACATAGGCACGTAACAGCAAAATGCAATATACTATATCGTAGATTTGTGAGACTCGAGGGCGCTTGCGAGATCTTTAATTTCATCAAAATATCTTCCGCGTGCGAATCCAATCGTCACGCACGTGTTCGCGCAAATCACGTGTTGACGTTTATATTTTATTGTAAAGCCATGTGTATGTGCGTCTCGCATACCGGTCAGGTTTCCTTATCCCCAACGGTACAAGGTAGATTATTCCACAGTCAAGGTTGCTGGAAGAAATAATATTGAATATTTGCAGTGGGTAATTCAAACGCACATAGAGGAGCGTATGTAGAGAAAGAGAAAAAGAGAACTGCATGAGTTTTTCTCCCGGTGAGAGGAAACGAGCTGTGCGAACGGAAAGAGAACGCGATTTCCGTAATCTTACTTCCTCGACGCGGTAACATTTCTCGCAGCGCGGCCTTACCGCAGGGACCATCGGCGTTACGTAAATAGATCGATCGGTCTTACATAACCGTTATGAAAAGAAAGAGCAAAGCTACCTTTACTATCCGGCGAAACTCGTAATGAGACGACGATATCGAATTCTATATTAGCAATTTATAACAACGTTTCACTCTCATAGCGCGCTCAACTATGTAAGTATCACTTTCGTTCGCAGTTCCGCGCGCCGTCGTACTCGCACTCGCGATACACGTTATGTGATATCTACTGGTGTTTTTTTTTGTTTCTCTTCGATTTCGAGTGATAGTCTTCCAACGTGATTCGTTACATTAGGCTCATTTACGAGATTATGCGATCTAATTATTTTTCAGCACGATGTAAACGAATCTTTTAATTGCGATGTCTCGTTATATAGAGAGTTCCCCCTTCTCTTTCCTCTCCAACTATCAAAGCTATACAAAATCGACGAACTTGCACAGACTCGAAGCAATCGTTCCCGAGTCGAAATTTTGACTCTCTGATGAACCTCTCATTCTACTATATATAGGAGTTACGATAGTAAAGTAGGTTCAATTGCAAGGATAAAATTTGCTCCTACTTTCAACCTAAAAGT